CCTACACCAAGAGTTTCCCTGAGCACCACTGGTGAGGTTCAAAAGATGCTGAGTCCTGGCACGACGGCTGTTTTCCGCCTGGCTAGCACACCGCAGAACGTCCAGCCTTGTCTGTGGCTTCTGCTCTTGGGACGCCAGTAGCGCCTGCCTCCCTCCTGCTCACTCCACGGTCACAGTCAGAGATGTCTGGGAGCAGAGGCAGGGCCGGGAGCTCCTCGGGGCTCACCGAGGACTCGAATAAGGTCAAGAGCTGTCTGTGGAGGAGGTCTTCCTGCCCCGCTCGCCCCCCCCCCCCCCGTCCCTCCTGACCTTCCCACCCACCTTTCCAACAAAACCTTCAGTCCACTCTGCCGCTCTGTTTCCAAAACCCCTTAAGTGGGCCAGGCGTGTCTGGGGTGAGCAAGAAGCAATGGATCCCATACTTCCTCCTACGGAGAGTTCACAGGAGCCAGTCCCCTCAGCAACCAGCAGGCTCCCCCGAAATCCCGCGCAGCGCCCCAGCTGGCCCGGCAGCCTCTATCTGCAGGCTGCAGGAGGCTCGGGGAGCACGGATTTGTCAGCGGTCTTAAATCATGGCTCTGAGGAAGCCTTCTCCCAGCACAAGGATTCTTCCCGAGGAATCAATAGCTCAGGGCCTTCCATCACACTCAGAATTATCCTGGGACCTGTAAAAATTTCTTTTCCCCAAGCATGGCAGAACCCCAAAATGAAAAGCCCGAGGTGGGGGAGGAAAGAAGGCCGGGAGGGAGCTGTGCCAAGGAGGCCTTGTCCACCAGCGCTGACGAGGCTGAGGGCAGAGGCAGATGGCCACCGGGCCTCTGTACCTGGCTGGTGGGAAATGGACCGTGCGTGGGAGAGGCCTGTCCTCCCCCCCAGAACCCCCACAGGCCTCTGATGAAAACACTGTCTACTCTGCCTCCATCAGCCAACCTCATCAGCGGCTGGCCGGTTTCCCTTGACAGAGGGGGAAACTGAGGCCTGCTCACACGAAGGGTTGTTCCTAGGTCCAGCCAGAAAGGGAGGGAGCTGGGTACTAAGGCCTCATGCCTGTGCCAGGCTGGGCGGCCTTCCCAGGGAAAGCTGTCATTGGGCTGCACACAACGGACAACCTCTCCCTCAGCATCCTATACCACCACTCCGCCTCTTCCCTCCTTCAGACAGAAGTCCTGAAAGGCTGGACAGCAACTCGTTTATTCATGCTGCCCCCCCCCCCCCGCCCCCCGCCCCGGCCCTACTGCATGTGGACCACGCCTTAAGAATGCAGATACAGGGGCTAGAGGGGTAGTACAGCGGGGAGGGCGTCTGCCTTGCACGCGGCTGACCTGGATTAAGCCCCGGCTCCCCCTATGGCCCCAGAGCACCACCAGGAGTGATTCCTGAATGCAGAGCCAGGAGTAAACCCTGAGCACCGCTGGGTGTGGCACCCAAAGCCAAACCAAACCAAAACAGCAACAGAAAGAATGCAGATCCATCCCTTCAGCAAGTGCTGGGAGCTGGTGGGAACCTCACATGTAGGAAGGAGAGGGCATGAAGGAAAGGAGGCATCTCGGCATCTTCCCTAGCAACAAGCATCCCTTGGGTGAGCCTGAGGGACAGAGAAGCGTCACCTCTCAGTGCACCTGTGTGGCAGCCCTGACTCCTCCTGAGGGTCGCCGCCAACATGGCTGTGCTCTGAGGGGACCCAGAGGAACTCCACACCGTGTGCAGAGAGGCCAGGGAGGGGAGAGGAAGCGGGAGGCAGCCCACAAGGCCACTCAGCAAACCTTCCAGGGCCCAGCTCAGATATCAACAGCCAGACTCTCAGGACAGAGCGAGGGCAGTGGCGAGGGTGATATCTTCCAGGTCACCCCGGAAGGCCGAGCATGAGGATTGGGCAAAAATAGATCACCGTCGTTCGCTGACCTTGAGCTGGGAACAACAAAGGATGGGGAGAGGGGCCAAGACTGGTTGGAAACGCCCTCTTCTTCGCCCGGAAGGAGGCCCCACTGGCAGTGGTGGGTCTGTGGCCTGGAGAGAACCTCACGCCTGCATCCCTAAGCTGGGATGCCCCAATCTCATGAGGGGATGTCACTGCTGATAGCTACCTGTGCGGGCAGAAACTCAGAACCGTGTTGCTTTGATCTAAAATAAAGCCCCCCACCAACTTATTTGGCTTAGTGCCCCCTTTTCAGAAGGAAGAATCAGTCCCCCGCCCCCAACCACCCACTGCACTATTGCTACCCCTTTGGATCCTTCCAGCAGCTCCAGACAGTGTTTGGGGAAAGCTGGCCTAAAGATCACTGTGGCATAACGTGACAAGGGCGTGGAGGGAGGGCAGAGAATAATTAGGCATTTCTATCATCTAATCATTAGGTATGTGAACAGTATTAGAAGTTGATTGTGTCCCTCATTTCCTCAGTCTGAACCATGGACTGAAAGGAAATTTCCTCCAATTTCCCCATCTCTGACGAGTCAGTATGAGTCAGTCGTTACGAGGACCTACTGTGCAGAGGGCTCCTGACCATTGCTCGACACAGAGGAAGCCGGCGCGGAGCAGAACAAGCTCTGGGTAGAGAACTGGGAGTGAGACCACACCCGGTCCTGTGGGCAAGAGGCAGGTCTTTATCAGGCCGCTGTTTGCTCAGCTAAATTCAGGACTGTGTGAGTGCTGGGGTGGGAGCGGGAACAGAGGCTGTTCAGGAACCCTCCCTGGAGCGCTAATGTTCTTGAACTCTAGTAGCCCCGAATGGGCTCAGATCACACACCAGCATCAAGCACAAAGGCGTAATTTTCAGAGAGCCGGTGGAGCCAAGTGCCAACTGTGCCCTTGGACTGTTAGACTTGCATGTGCCCCGTTGCACCCGAGATCACAGGACCACCTGAAGTCCGGGAGGCATGTGATGCCAATCATGAAAGCAATGGCTGAAAGCAAAAGCTGGAGCTTGCATATAAAGTGTTAAGTTACTATGGTCAGTGAAGGGCAAGAAGTGAGTCAGTGGTCCTGAGCTGTGGGTGTCTTGGCGCCCCCTTCTGGACACCAAGGACTCTGCTCTGTGTCAGCAGGTGGCAGGGAGGATTTGGAAGCAGAAGAGAAGTAGGAGAGAATGGGGGACTCTCACAGCTTCTAAGAGGATTGTGTTTTTGGTCAGTGATCCTCATTAAAAGCCCACATTCCCCCTCCTAGCACCATATTCACTGGGGTGCAAAGATGCGACATCTTAAGCAAACACCGAGGTGCCAAGTAATAAACATCAAGGTTCAGAACACCAGGTGCAGCCCAGATGGAGAGAAGGGAAGAAAAAGCAACAAGCAGGTCTTTCTCTCTACAAATCCCCAGTGGAAAAAGGTCTTGGGAAATTCAGCAGAAAATGTTGACTGCCTGTAGATGATGGAGCTGAAGTTTGAGGTCTGGGCTGAGAGGCTATAAAGCAGCTGCCCAGGAGTTCAAAACACTCATCATGATCACGGGTGAGGTACAGATGAGAGGCAGAGCCCCATCGGGCAGCTGCAGAGTAAGGCAACCCTTACATCCCTTTCAACCCCCTCAAGCCCATTGGTACCAACTGGAAACCAGAACATTCTCCTTCTGGTTCACCGTGCCAGCATCAAGACCCAGAGATACCTTCATTGTTTCTTAAACGGACTTTAGATTTTGTTGCCAAGGGAATATTCTTAACAAAGTCAGGGAGAGGAAATACTCAAGGATCATATTGGAAGAACCGCCATGTTCCCCATTTGCTTTCTCCACCTCCCCTTTTTCCATGGCTGAGAATGGGGACAGTGCAATTCTCTGAATTTGCTCTAATTCAGTCCTCGGGGGCGGGGGGTGGTCTCCAATACCTAATCTGTCTCTCTCGCACCACAGGGCTATCTTCTATTTCTGGAACCTTCTTCATTCATTTTCACCTGGCTCCACTTGGGAAGTCCTGCACCCATCCCAGAAGACACCTCAAGTGTGACTCAAGAATATGTCCTCGGACAGATGAACCACTGTTTCGGGGGCGCACAGAAGTCACAGAAGGTACACCACCCAATGCCAGCAACAGCAACAATATTCATTAGTCATTCCTGAGGCAAGGAGAGCGTCCCCCCCACCCCTCCAGCCCCTGGACGTTTCCTGGCTACTCTGGGAGGCTCCCATCCAGGCTGGGATGACTTTGGATTCTTGAGTTGGTTTCTGCAGGCACGGGACTACCCAGGGCTCCCAACTACTGTACTGCGAAGAGACACGCTGCATTGCTGGGCATGCCCCCAAGGCCGGCCTGCTGCCCCACGAGCCCCCACCCCCGTGCCCCCCCGTGCCCCCCCCCTGGGGACCGTGGAGAAGCCCTGGTTCCCTCCTGGGTTCCCTCGGAATGCCTGGAGCTGGATTGCCTGGCACAGGCTGCGAGCGAGGAGACCACACCTCGGTCCAGTCAAGGCTGCTGGCGGCTAACCCGCGCTCAGGGAGGGCTCCCGGAGCTCGAGCTGGCCGCCCAGGACCGTGCCGGGGGGCTCGGCGTCCCCGGGGGAGACGCGCTCACCCCCCTGGGGCTCTTCTCCATGCAGGAAGCGTAGACAACCGGTCGAGGCCACTAGCTTTCGGGTCCGGGGCTGAGCCCGCCTGGCGGGTGCCTCCCCGCGACATCTCCCGGCACATCCCTCATCTGCTCCGCCCCCCTCCCAAGCTCCGGTTCCCCCCTCCCCAAACACCTGACCTCCAGCGCGCCCCCTGCACCTTCCCAGCCAGCTGGGCCAGACTCGGGGCGCTGACACCTCGCGCACCCCCCGCCCACCCCGACCACCTCCTCTTCTCCCTCCATCCAGCCCGGCTCGCGCCTCGCCCCCAGCCCGCTGGGGCGGCTCGGCGCGCTAGTCGGGTCCAGCATCTTTTGGCAAGTTGGGTGCCAAGCCGGCGCGGTTGCCCCCCACCAGCGGTCCCCCCGCCACCCCCTGCAGGGGCATCCGGAGGGGGCGCCGCGGGCGGGCGAAACTTTCTCGGCCGGGGGGCGGGGTGTGGGGGCACGGGAGCGGGTACTCACGCCGGGGTCCGCGCTCGGAGCCGTGGCCGGGCAGGCTCAGCCCCGCCGCCTGGGGGCGCGGGCGCGCGGGCGCTGGAGCAGCCGCTGTCTCCGCCGCCTCCGCCGCCGCCGCCGCCGCCGCCGCCGCCGCCTTCCAGCTCGCAGCCCGGGTCCCGGGCTGGCCTCGAGCCTCCCGCCCCGACGCCGCTCGCCCGCTCGCTTTATACAACTCCACTCGAGCGCGCCCGGCCTTATGTAAAGGCTGGCGGAGCCCCGCAGCCAATAGCGCGGCGGCTGGGGCCGGCGGCCCGCGGGCGGGGGGCGCGCGCGCGGCCAATCGCGGCGCGGGGGGCCCGGGGAGCCGGTGGGGGAGGGGGCGGCGCCCGCGCTGATTTAGGAGCGGGGATTGCGGTGGCAGCAGCCGGCGGCCCGGCCGGCGCGGCGGGCGCGGGGTGGGCGGCGGTGCAGGCGGCGGAGGGGCGGGCGCCCCCCGCGCCGGGTCGCTGCGGCGCGTAACCTTCAGCGGGCAGCGGGGCCTGGCCGGGGGAGGTTGGTGGTGGTGATGGTGGTGGGGAGGGGGCTCGGGGGCGGCGAGGGCGCCTCCCGGGGCGCTCGGGGGGCCCCGGGCTGCGGGAAGCCAGGGGTCCCCCGGGAGGAAGCGCCGGGAAGGAAGGCGGGCGCCCGGGGAGGGGGTGGAGCGGCGAGGGCCCGGGCCGCGCGGACACCCCGAGGCGCGCCGAGCGGCGGCTGGGGGCGGGGGGCGGCGGGCGGGGGCCGCCGCGCCGCCTTCGCGTTTGTTGCCCCCCAGATAGCATCTGGCGTCGCCGGGCCGAGCGCGCCGCGCTGATGGCGAGATTGCGCGCTGCGGAGCGAGCGCCCCGCCGATGCTTATCCGGCCCGGGGACGTGTCCAGCGCGGCGCGGGGCTGCTCAGTATGGAGAGCGGACCTCCGCGACGGCCCCGCAGGGCGGGGAGCGGGCGAGCGCGGCTCTCGGAGCTCAGGCGTCTGCCCGCGGCCCCCCGACAGTGCCGCACCGGCCCCCGCCCCCCGCAGTGCCCGCCGCACCTCGCCGCACCCCATCCCGCCCGCCCCACCCTGCGGGGCCGGGGCTGAGAGCCGCCCACCCGCTCGCCCGGGTGCTCAGATCCTGCCGCTCTCGCACCACTCGGTAACGCAGGTCCGGCTCCTCCCGCCTCGACCTCCCCTCGCCCGCGGGGGGCGGATGCGCTCGGCCCCTCGGGTCCGGGAAACCAGGGGCCACGCTTGGGAAGAGAGCGCTTGGTCAGCAGTGCGCATGGGGTCCTTTATGGGTGACACTCTGAAGTCCCGAGTTTTGCGCCTACATTAGGTCGGGGCACCTAGTCCGTAGGGAGTATTTACCGAATGAATTCTTCTGAGCGTCCGTGAAGATATCTCAGGGTGTGAAAGGTGGGGTGGCCGGTTTAGGAAGAGACAGGCCCCGGGAAGTCACCGGAGGGGAGTGGACAGGGACCGTTTCCGTCTGTTTGAAGCCCTTGTTTCTGACACCGGCCCCCGCACCCCTAACCCTTCCAAGGACCTTAATATGTTCAGTCCACCCCTAACTCTTACAAGGACCCTAATATGTTCAGTCCCAGGCTCAGATCTCTTATACCCAGATTTTGAGCAAAACTTTCAGGATCTACTTTGGGTTCTAGTTTCAGGTTCAGGGAAGCCATCCTCTGCAGAGAAATACCTGACCGAAGGAGGGCCTCTGGCTTGGGTGACCCTGGCTTGAGCTCAGGTTCTTAACCCTTTGGGGTTGTGGACCCTTTTTGGGAATTTGGCAAACATGATGAATCCTTGTCTTGAAAAATATACAAGTACACACATATTTATACTTGCCTGGAGTGTAACTTCAAAACTGTAGGGCCTCCAGCCTGCCCTGAGACCTCTATCCACGTGAGCTCATTTCCCTTCCAGTCTAAAGAGGTGGTTCCAACCCCCTCCTTGGGGCACCACAAAGCCCTTTTAAATCTTTCAAGAATTGAATCGATGGTCTGGATCTGTTTCTCAGAAAAATGCTCTATCACACACTTCAGGGGGTTCCTGGACCCTGAAACTTAATCTTGGATCCCAGATGATGCCCCTTCATTGGGCACCAATGAGACTGGCCGGTCAATTAGCATGCCTGGATTCCAGTTGGCTCTGTGCCCCCACAGCATTTAGGCTCTCTCAGTGTTATGGGGCATCTAGGTCGTGTGACAGGGGCTCCTGCGAGACCACCTCTGTGCGCATCTCTGCATCTGGGTCCCTGCCATGCTCAGCCTGGAAAGAAGTTGCAGATTGTCATGTTCTGTTTGATCCACAAGCTTCCTGTTGCCAGACTCCTCAACTCGGAGAGACAGCAAGTGACTGGTAATTAACCAGTTTCACTCAGTCCCAGGCATCTGAGCACACCTTTCTTGGTTTCTGTTCTCACCTCTCCCTTTCTGCCAGCGAAGCTGTGAGCAGCCTCCCCAGCTGTGGAGTCTAGCCTCACCCAAGCCTGACAGGCTTAGTAACCACTGCCGTAATTATCAGCACAGCCACAGCCATCCAGATGTGGAAGGTTTCTCGGCCCCCAACAGGTCTATAATGATCTCACTTTTGCCTGCACTGGTCAGGTCAGGGTTGCACAAGCGCTGGAGGAGGACAGTAGGGCATGGGAAATGACCGAGACTTTCTCTCCAGGAAGCTCCAGGGGGGTTTTCTGGATATGTGCATAAACAAGGAAGGTTGAGTCAGCGGGCCTGGCATCCCCGGAAACAGTGTCTAATGGCTCCTCTTCTCTATGTCCTTTCACTCTGCTCAAGACAAGGGTCACTCAGATTCTAACTCTACCCTGCCCTCCTCATGGTACCATCTTGCCCTGCCAAATTGCTCGGCTTTCTCGGGGTACATGGACACAGCATGTGAGCCTGTGTCCTCCCTCAACCCACATCGGAAGCTCTAACTTCCAATATGATGCATCTGGATATAAGCCTTTCAGAGGTAATGAAAGTTGGATGTGGTCTGGTGGATGGAACCCAAATTCCTAAAACTGGTGGCCTTGCAAGACAAAGAAAGAGGTGTGGATAATGTCCCTCTCACCATGCCAGCGCAGAGGCCACGCGAAGGCGCACACAGAGAGCTGGTTTTCTGCAAGTCAGAGAGAGAGACCTCCGGAGGGACAGGACCTTCCAGCAACTTGATCCAAACTCCAACTGTGAGAACATAAGCTCCCATTATGTAAACTCCCATTATGTAGGCTGTGAGATTCCACAATCTCTGCTGAGCCCAGGGATACACTTTGCACAAACCCCTTCCCCATTCATGGCACACACACCATCCCACATTTGTTGCATACAAACCTTCCCCCATTCATGGCACACAATCCTTCCCCCCATCCAACTGTACATGCCTTCCCCCATCCAATTGTATAGGCCTTTCCACATCCAACTGCACACACACCTGACGCTGTCCAGCATGAGATCTCACTGCCCAGAGCCGCCCTTCTCCTCTGAGTAATGACTTGTTTCCCCACACACCTTGTCCATTCTCATCAAAGACATCTAATGAAAATGTTCACTCATCTTTGAGCCCCCCACAACCAAACTTCCTCTCCCTGTCCACCTTCCCAAATTGCTCTCACCTGAGAGCATGACCTTTGCTATTCTGCATCACCTTAGCACTCTGTTTATTGAGACTCCTGTTTTCTCCCTCGTTGTTTTCTTTTTTTTTGGGGGGGGGGTCACACCCAACATTGCACAGGGCTGGCTCCTGGCTCACACACTCAGGAATTAATCCTTGTGGTGCTGGGGGGGGGGGGGGGGAGAAACCATACGGGATGCTGGGAATCGAAACCCAGATCGGCCACATGCGAGGCAAACACTCTACCCACTATGCTATCATGCCAGCCCCCTCATTGCTTCTTAAGCACAATACTTAACCTTCCCATCAGAGTGGAAGCTGCTTCAGGCCCAGGGTTGGTACCTTCTGCCTGGCTGCCAGGCAGAACACAGCACGAAATGAGGCATAGTGCAAGAGCACAATGCGTGTCGGTGAATTCATCCCAATTAATTATTATAACTGGAAAAAATAAAAAAACTGATTCCAAAGACCATTACTTCTCAAGAAAATCGTAGAAAATTTATGGAGAGCTTCATTTTCTAAAAATGCATGATATTTCGTGCATGCCATTTCAGTCCTCTTGGAAACTCACTGAAGCAGTTCTCAGCTACCAAGCACATTCCTAAGAATCAGGCAAGCTGCTCAGGGGACCAAGTCAGCCTTCATACCTCAATCCCAGAGATTTGCTGTATTTGCATTCCTTGGGACACTCATGTTCTCTACAACTATCTTCTGATTAGGGTTAGATATTAGGTTTGTCCAAGGTAGAAGCTGAGAATGAAAAGTTAGAGTGAGTTAAATTTAGCATAATACGAAGAAATAGAACAAGGCTATGTAAAAGATTAGGACAAGAGCTAGAATGAGGAAAAGGGTTAGGGTTAGGATGTAAGAAGTTGAGAATGAAAGGGTGAGGGTGAATGTTAATTTAGGGTAACTGGTAAGATTAGAAAAAAAGTGTGAGATAAGGGTAAGGATTTTGTTAAAGTTAGAGTGAGGATTGTTAGGACTAGGGTTAAGAGTAGGAATAGGGTTTACATCTGGCCGTGAAAAAAGTAGAGAATGAAATTTATGGTGAAAGTAAATTGTAGGTAAGGTTAAGAAAAAGTCAGGTAGAGTAAGGATTTGGAATAGGTAGAATAAGGGTTAGGGTAGATTTAGGGTTAGGGTTAGGGCTAGTTTAAATTTGGCTATGGTAGAAGTTGACAATAAAAGTTAATATGAGGATGAAAATTAAATGTTTGGTAATTGGTAGCATTAGGGCAAGGCTAGAGTAAGGGTTAAGATTAAGGATAGAATTAGTATTAGGGTTAGGATTGGAATTCAGGTTTAACTATGGTCAAAGTTGGAAATGAGTTATTATTAGGATTAAACTAGTTCTATGCTAGAGGAAGGGTTATTGTTAGGGATAAGATTAAGGTTAGGGTTTGGTTTATGGTTAGTTTTGATTGGGATATGGTTGAAGCTAAAAATAAATTTAGGATTAGGGTGAATGTTAAATATAGGGTAATTGGAAGGCTTAGGGATAAGCTGGGGTAAAGGTTTGCATTAGGGTTAAGGTTAGGATTAAGTTTAGGAAAGGGTTAGGCTTAGGCTAGGG